AAAACATGTAGGAGAGATACACGATTATATACACCTGGAAAATCCTAGAGGGACTAGTACCGAACTTGCACACGAAAATCACTCACAATTAAAGCAAAAGACTCGGGAGACGATGCAACATCCCCCCAGTGAAAAGCAGGGGTGTCACTAGCACGTTAAGAGACAATACAATAAGTGTCTGGGGCCCGAGACTGTTCAACTGCCTCCCAGCATACATAAGGGGAATTACCAATTGACCCCTGGCTGTCTTCAAGCAGGCACTGGACAAGCACCTAAAGTCAGTACCTGACCAGCCGGGCTGTGGCTCGTACGTGCAGCCAGCAGTAACAGCCTGGTTGATCAGGCTCTGATCCACCTGGAGGCCTGGTCACAGACCGGGCCGCGGGGGCGTTGACCCCCGGAACTCTCTCCACGTAAACTCCAGGCCTGGGTCCAGAGAACATGTAGGCCTGGATCCAAGAGAACATGTAGGCCGGAGTCCAAGAGAACATGTAGGCCTGGGTCCAGGAGAACATGTAGGCCTAGGTCCAAGAGAACATGTAGGCCTGGGTCCAGAAGAACATGTAGGCCTGGGTCCAAGAGAACACGTAGGCCTGGGTCCACGAGAACATGTAGGCCTGGGCCCAAGAGAACGTATAGGCCTGAGTCCAAGAGAACATGTAGGCCTGGGTAAATGAGAACATGTAGGCCTGAGTCCAAGAGAACATGTAGGCCTGAGTCCAAGAGAACATGTAGGCCTGGGTCCAGGAGAACATGTAGGCCTGGGTCCAAGAGAACATGTAGGCCAGGGTCAAGGAGAACACGTAGGCCTGTGTCCAAGAGAACATGTAGGCCTGGGTTCAAGAGAACATGTAGGCCTGGCACCATGAGAACATGAAGGCCTGGGTCCAGGAGAACATGTCGGCCTGGGTCCAAGAGAACATGTAGGCCTGAGTCCAAGAGAATATGTAGGCCTGGGTCCAGGAGAACATGTAGGCCTGGGTCCAAGAGAACATGTAGGCGTAGGTCCAAGAGAACATGTAGGCCTGGGCCCAAGAGAACATGTAGGCCTGAGTCCAAGAGAACATGTAGGCCTGGGTAAATGAGAACATGTAGGCCTGGGTCCAAGAGAACATGCAGGCCTAGGTCCAAGAGAACATGTTTACCTGGAGTTTACCTGGAGAGAGTTCCGGGGGTCAACGCCCCAGCGGCCCGGTCTGTGGCCAGGCCTCCTGGCGGATCAGAGCCTGATCAACCAGGCTGTTACTGCTGGCTGCACGCAATCCAACGTACGAGCCACAGCCCAGCTGGTCAGGTACCGACTTTAGGTGCTTGTCCAGTGCCTGCTTGAAGATAGCCAGGGGTTTATCGGTAATGCCCCTTTTGTATGCTGGGAGGCAGATGAACAGTCTCGGGCCCCTGACACTTATTGTATTGTCTCTTAACGTGCTAGTGACACCCCTGCTTTTCATTGGGGGGATGGTGCATCGTCTGCCAAGTCTTTTGCTTTCGTTATTAGTGATTTTCGTGTGCAAGTTCGGCACTAGTCCCTCTAGGATTTTCCAAGTATATATAATCATGTATCTCTCCCGCCTGCGTTCCAGGGAATACAGGTTCAGGAACTTCAAGCGCTCCCAGTAATTGAGGTTTTTTTATTCCTTTATGCGCGCCGTGAAGGTTTCTGTACATTTTCTAGGTCAGCAATTTCACCTGCCTTGAAAGGTGCTGTTAGTGTGCAGCAATATTCCAGCCTAGATAGAATAAGCCACCTGAAGAGTGTCATCATGGGCTTAGCATCCCTAGTTTTGAAGGTTCTCATTATCCATCCTGTCATTTTGCTAGCAGATGCGATTGATACAATGTTATTGTCCTTGAAGATGAGATCCTCCGACATGATCACTCCCAGGTCTTTGACATTGATTTTTCTCTCTATTCTGTGGCCGAAATTTGTTTTGTACCCTGATGAAGTTTTAATTTCCCCATGTTTACCATATCTGAGTAATTTTAATTTCTCATCGTTGAACTTCATATTGTTTTCTGCAGCCCATTGAAAGATTTGGTTGAAGTCCGCCTGGGCCTTGCAAGTCCTGCAATGGAAGACACTGTCATGCAGATTCGGGTGTCATCTGCAAAGGAAGACGCGATGCTGTGGCTGACATCCTTGTCTATGTCAGAAATAAGGATGAGAAACTAGATGGGAGCAAGTACTGTGCCTTGTGGAACAGAGCTTTTTACCGTAGCCGCCTCAGACTTTACTCTGTTGACTACTACTCTTTGTGTTCTGTTTGTGAGGAAATTATAGATCCATCTACCAACTTTTCCTGTTATTCATTTAGCACGCATTTTGTGCGCTATTACGCCATGGTCACACTTGTCGAAGGTTTTGCAAAGTCTGTATTATTACTTCTGCTTCTTTTTTATCTTCTAGTGCATCTAAAACCCTTTGTCGTAGTGATCCGGGTAGTTGGGACAGACAGGAGAGACCTGTTTAAAAACCCTTGTTGCCCTGGGGGGTTTGTAACTGATGGGTATCTAGATGAGTGACAATCTTGCTTCTTAGGAACCTTTTCAAAGTTTTTTTATGATAGGGGGATGTTTAGTCTATTGGCCTGTAGTTTCTTTGCTAATTGCTTTACTGCCCCTTTGTGGAGTGGGGCTATCCGTTTTTTTGTAACTGGGGGAAACGCCCCCCGTGTCCTTGCCCCTTCCATGAACGCGGAGTTCAAATGAGACTGGCCCTGGGGCCAAAGTGCATGGGCATGCCATTTATCTCCTGTTCGAAGTCATTTGGCGTCAGGATAAATCAGATAGGCTTGTGTTTACCAAATTCTGTGGCTCTCCCTAAAAAATCATTTGATCTTCGACCGCAGTCTGGTTAGCGACTTTGATTTGGCTTAAGAAAAGAAATACTTTGGGTTTCTTTCGATTTCATTTATGGTTTTTTTGTTCTTTGCACGATTCCTGACTCCTATATTTCATTAAGTTCGATGTTTGCTATTTTTCTGACCAGTGACTCCCCACGTATTTCAGATAATATTGGGGCCCCTTTTAAACCGCTCTGTTAAATTTTTTCCGTGGCCTGTAAAGGGAGCGCCTGTCTCTTTCTATTTTACATCTAATCCTCCCTTTTTTTTAAAGGAAAAAAGCCTTGAGCATACATCGAGTGCCACCGAGTTAATCTGTTCTAGGCATAAGTTGGGGTCTGTGTTGTTTAGTCTATTTTCCCAGCTTATATCGTTTAGGGGCTTGGTTTACTTGGTCCCACTTATGTTCTTGTATTGAAGTTGAATTTGGTGAAGGGTCCATAGTGACTAATCTCATTTTGTCGGTCTGGAGCTTCGCGCATACATTTCTGAACCTCGATTATGTTGTGATTGAGTATATTTTTTTGATTTTGGTGACATTTCGTATCAGATTTATCATTGTCAGTGAAGATGAGGTCTAGTGTGTTCTCCACTCTAGTAGGCTCTATTAATTTGTTGGTTTAAGTTGAATTTTGTGTAGAGATTTAAAAAGTCGTGTGTGTTGAGTTCTCGTCAGAGCTGCCTCCTGGTGTCATCACTGCAACAACATTATTTGCTACATTCCTCCATTTTTAGGCGCCTCAAGTTGAAATCCCTCAGGAGCAACTTTTCTGGGGGCAGGAGCTGGAAGAATTTCCAGGGCAGTGGTCAATTTTTAACAGCTGTTCGGGGAAATTTCTGGGACGTTGCACCCCGGAGGCTTGTAGACTACCACAATGACTAGGTTTTGGCGGAGTCTCGCTCTTCCGTCAAGTGACGGAGGCTCGCTCTTCCGTCAAGTGACGGAGGCTCGCTCTTCCGTCAAGTGATGGAGGCTCGCTCTTCCGTCAAGTGACGGAGGCTCGCTATTCCGTCAAGTGACGGAGGCTCGCTATTCCGTCAAGTGACGGAGGCTCTCTCTTCCGTCAAGTGACGGAGGCTCTCTCTTCCGTCAAGTGACGGAGGCTCGCTATTCCGTCAAGTGACGGAGGCTCTCTCTTCCGTCAAGTGACGGAGGCTCGCTGTTCCATCAAGTGATGGAGGCTCGCTGTTCCATCAAGTGACGGAGGCTCGCTGTTCCGTCAAGTGATGGAAGCTCACTCTTCCGTCAAGTGACAGAGGCTCGCTGTTCCACTAAGTGACAGAGGCTCGCTCTTCCGTCAAGTGATGGAAGCTCACTCTTCCGTCAAGTGACAGAGGCTCGCTCTTCCGTCAAGTGACGGAGGCTCGCTGTTCCACTAAGTGACGGAGGCTCGCTGTTCCATCAAGTGATGGAGGCTCGCTCTTCCGTCAAGTGACGTAGGCTCGCTGTTCCGTCAAGTGACGGAGGCTCGCTCTTCCGTCAAGTGACGGAGGCTCGCTGTTCCACTAAGTGACGGAGGCTCGCTGTTCCGTCAAGTGATGGAGGCTCACTGTTCCGTCAAGTGACGGAGGCTCGCTCTTCCGTCAAGTGACGGAGGCTCTCTCTTCCGTCAAGTGACGGAGGCTCGCTCTTCCGTCAAGTGATGGAGGCTCGCTCTTCCGTCAAGTGACGGAGGCTCGCTATTCCGTCAAGTGACGGAGGCTCGCTATTCCGTCAAGTGACGGAGGCTCTCTCTTCCGTCAAGTGACGGAGGCTCGCTATTCCGTCAAGTGACGGAGGCTCTCTCTTCCGTCAAGTGACGGAGGCTCGCTCTTCCGTCAAGTGATGGAGGCTCGCTGTTCTGTCAAGTGACAGAGGCTCGCTATTCCGTCAAGTGACGGAGGCTCTCTCTTCCGTCAAGTGACGGAGGCTCGCTCTTCCGTCAAGTGACGGAGGCTCGCTCTTCCGTCAAGTGACGGAGGCTCGCTGTTCTGTCAAGTGACGGAGGCTCACTATTCCGTCAAGTGACGGAGGCTCTCTTTTCTGTCAAGTGACGGAGGCTCGCTCTTCCGTCAAGTGACGGAAGCTCGCTCTTCCGTCAAGTGACGGAGGCTCGCTCTTCGTCAAGTGGACGGAGGCTCTCTCTTCCGTCAAGTGACGGAGGCTCGCTCTTTCCCTCAAGTGACGGAGGCTCGCTCTTCCGTCAAGTGATGGAAGCTCGCTGTTCCGTCAAGTGACAGAGGCTCGCTGTTCCGCCAAGTGACGGAGGCTCGCTCTTCCGTCAAGTGATGGAAGCTCGCTGTTCTGTCAAGTGACAGAGGCTCGCTGTTCCGCCAAGTGACGGAGGCTCGCTGTTCTGTCAAGTGACAGAGGCTCGCTGTTCCGTCAAGTGACAGAGGCTCGCTGTTCTGTCAAGTGACAGAGGCTTGCTCTTCCCTCAAGTGACAGAGGCTCGCTGT